ATGGTGATGTGCAACTCCAGAGGCCACCTGTGAAAGAGCCCGTGTAGGCAGAATTTGTCGAGTGTCAGGAGGCGACTGTGAGTATGAGGGTTGTAGTGTATGAACTCCCTGTGGTGGGTGAGGTGAGTCTGGGTCTCAGAGGGTTGCTTCAGCAGCCTGGCTGTTTCCCTTAGAGATAACGGAGCTGTCTGATGAGAACAGCAGTGACTAATCCCTATAGCTTTGGGTAGGTGGGAGGCCTTTAGAATGCTCATAATTTGACCTGAGTTAGTTATGGATCCTCCTTTTGTAGTAAGCTCTTTCCAGATAGCAGCATGGAACAGGGGGATGTGAAAAGCATATCTGGAGTCTGTGTAAACATTTAGGGATTGCCCCTATGCTAATTGGAAGGCACGGATGAGAGCTATTAGTTCAGCCTGCTGGTTAGTAGCATGGGTGGGGTCCCCTCATGTAAAAAGGTATAGGTGGCCTGAGGTAGTCTGACTTCCTGTATGTGTGAAGGACAGGCAATAGTTCGTCCAGGGTTTCAATGCAGGAATGAGATGGGGAGTTAGTATTGACTGGAGATATTGAGGATGGGCAGGATTGGAAAGTAAGTGTGGCATCTTCTAACAGTGCCACCTGGAGAGAAAGAATTCAGGAAGGAGGTAAAGTTTGTAAACCTTTTATAAGAGATGAGACAGGGAGCTGGAGAGATGGTTCAGGCTTTAAGAACACTACTTGTTCTTCCAGAAGTCCTGAGTTCAATTCCCAGCAACCACATGGTGGTTCACAACCATCTGTAGTGAGATCTGGTGCCCTCTTCTGGCCTGCAGGCATATATGCAGACAGAATACTATGTAATAAATAAATATTTATTTTTTAAAAACTTTATTTTAAAAAAAAGATGAGACAGGCTTGTATGATCCATAAGTCCCCAAACACGGAGGTCAGAGTAGTTCTGGGGTGAACACACACACACACACACACACACACAACACACGGAAGGAATGTTCTCCCCCGAACTCTATACTGCAGGGGAGCCTTCCCAGTCCACCTCACCTATGCTCCTCTCCCCTGGCTCTTCACTGCTACCCTGGATCCTTTGTGTAATAGATCAGCAGGGGTAAGGGAACTGTTTTCCTGGGCTCTGTGAGTCATCCTAGCAAGTGATCGACCCTGAGCTGTTAGGATGCACTGGTGACAACCTGAACTGTGACTGTCATCTTCGTGGGGCCTGGGGTAGAGCTGAGCCCTTATCTGAGCAGTCTGGCACTAACTGCAGTGAGAGCCAAGTTCAGCTGGTGTCCCCAGAGAACTGGAAAGTTGCCTGGTGTGGGACCTCCCTCTCCAGTTGGTGTCAGAAGTACTGAGAATCGGTGCAGTAGCAGAGAAGAGGGTACTTACCCTGCACTCGGGTAGTTTAAAAATAGGCCCACAATTTCTGTGACTCATTTCAAAAACTAGTGCTAGCATCCCCTTCCCTTGGATGTGGGACCCTCAGAATGGAGGACAACTGGCTCAGGTGCACGCTTACTGCAGTTGATGTTTCTGACGCACGCTTACTGCAGTTGATGTTTCTGACCCCGTGTGTAAAGGAGGGGCTTACTGGCTCTGTCCTTATTGGGGCTAGAAAATTGTAATAGTTCCTGAAACCTGCTTTGAAAAATGAGCCACACAGAGTCTACGTGGCTTTGTGGAAAGCTGTTTCCTGGGTATGACTTGTCAGTTGCCTCTTGAACTCTCAGCAGCTCTGAGAAGACCTGCACAAGACCAGCTCTGGAAACTTCCTATCGTGGAGCTGGGGAGACGCCCACAAGGACTCCCCCTCCCTGAGGATTTACAGGCAGTTAACAGTTCCTAGGGAGAGGGACACTTGAGTCCTTGTGCTTTCCCTGTGGTTTTAGAAGCAGTTACCAGCTCCTAGGGGGTGGGGCTTGTGAGGCCCCGCCCACTCCCTGTGGCTGTCTGTAGAAGGTTAGCAGAAGCTGGTGTGGAAGGACTGAACTCAGTGGAGCAGCAGAGAAAGGTTGCTCTCCCTGTCAGCAGACGATTTGTCAATGCGGTCCCAGCATCTCTGGAATTTCCGTTTTCAGAGGATGGCCTGTAACATCCCTTACCCTTGGATGCGGTCTGGATTTGTTGGCTGGCATTTCACTGTTCTGTGCTGAGGCAGTAGTGATGCTCTTGTACCTCTAGTGTGAGGCCATAAAGAGTTTCTTCTTTTTCCTCCACCTCTCTTGAACCGCCATGTTTTAATGACATTCAGTCAAGTAGCATGGGGGGGAAGATTCACATGGTCAGGGACTAAGGGGTCCTCAAAACAGCCAGCATCTCCTGCCAGCCTGTGGGGGCCTGAAACACCTTGCAGATGGACCCTGCAGCCTACCTGAAGCCTTCAGATGCCACACCCCTGGCCCAAATCAAACAGTGCCGTCGAAGAGTCTCAGCTGGGAGTGCTAAAGCTTGTGTGAGCTCTTAACTAACACTGTGAGGAGTGGCTGCTTCTTACCATTTGAAGTCAGTTTTGGGGAGGCTGGAGACCCTCTGAGCTGGTGTTTCTTGAGGCTTGTGGAATGACGTGGGATTTTGACCCCAGGCTTTGTCTTCCCTTCCTCCGCACAATCCCCACTGATTGTCCTGAACACGCATTTCCTTGTGTCCTGTCATGAAGGAGACACCACTGACACATGCTGCATTATAAAATGAGCTGACATTTTGGGAGGAGGAGGGACTCACAGAATGATAATGGAGCATGTTCAATCCCTTCCACTGAAACCCCACCTCGAGGTTTCCCTAGAGCCAGGCAGTGTCTAGCTCAGAGCCCAGACCATGGCAACTCTCATAAAGGAAAACATTTAATTGGTGCTGGCTTACAGTTTGAGGATTTAGTCCACTGTCGTCATTTCGGGAAGTAGGGTGGCAGGCAGGCATACATGGTGCTGGAGAAGTAGCTGAGAGTTCTACATGCAGATCCAAAGGCAGCAGGAAGAGAGACACTGGGGCTGGTTTAATCATCTGACACCTCAAAACCTGCCCCCCCATGACACACTTCCTACTCCAACAAGGCCACACCTCCTAATAGTGCCACTCCTGATTAGTCTCTGACGGCCATTTCCATTCAAACCATCACACATGCAAAATGAGCTTAAGCTAGAGGGCCGCTCCATGCTCCATTCCTGTAGCTGGTGTGTGACTGAATAGAATCTATGGCTTGATGGTCATTAAGGGGAGGAGAAGTTTATTCAGTTGTTCAGAGTGAAGTGTGCATGCAGCCTGATTTAGGCAGGAGTCTTGGATGCCAAGGTGTGTATGCATAGTATGTGAACACGAGGATCTTGGAACGTTGGGTGGATTATGAGAAGTGTATGCGCATAGGCCACAAACCAAGTGAGGTTCCCAGGTCACTAACCTTTTCCCTACGGCTGTCTGTCTCAGTCATCACCCACCCCTTATTTTTTTGTTTTTGTTGTTTTTTTTTTTGCTTGTTTGTTTTTTGTTTTGTTTTTCGAGACAGGGTTTCTCTGTAGCTTTGGAGGCTGTCCTGGAACTCGCTCTGTAGACCAGGCTGGCCTCGAACTCACAGAGATCCGCCTGCCTCTGCTTCCCGAGTGCTGGGATTAAAGGCGTGCGCCACCACCGCCCGGTAAAACAAAGATCTTTTTAAATTTAAAGCAGCAACTAATCAGGTTGGAAGCTTGAGTATGTATGACCCTAAGAAAAGCCGTATTCTTTCCTCCCTGAGGTTTCCCGGGATTTTCAAAAAGGCTGAACTCTGTTTCCAGCAAAGCTCTCCTACTGGGTTTCATAGACCTAGACTTTTACCTTATCAATTGGAATCCTCTCAGATGCCCAGCTCCTACTCAGGAACCACCCTGGGATCTGATTTCTGTCCCTTAACCAACTTTAAAGACACTTCAAACCTCACAAAAATGATGGTCTATTACAGTATATATGACTACCGTAATGACGATGAAGCAGTTTTCTCTCTTTGTTTCTCTTTTCGCTTTATCCCTCCCCTCACACGTGCTCTTTTTTTTTTAAAGGATTTATTTATTTTATGTATATGAGTACTCTATCTGCATATACAACTTTATGTGAGAAAGGGGCACCAGATCTCATCATAGATGGTTGTGAGCCACCATGTGGTTGCTGGGAATTGAACTCAGGACCTTTGGGAGAGCAACCAGTGCTCTTAACCTCTGAGCCATCTCTCCAGCCCCACACGTGCTCTTGAATGTGCTTTTTGTTCTGACAGTCTTTTTTTTCAGGTTTGCATATTTAAAAATTATGCATTCCAATAATTAAAATCATTTGAACAAAAAAAAATGGCACTCTGATCAAACTGCATTTTACATCCTGCAGGACACCTTGGACTGTAATGAGCGTTCTTCCCACCAGCCTGGTCGGTCCCAGTGCCATGTCAGCCCCAAATAACACACAGAGACTCTATTAGTTACACTGCTGTCCTCCAATGTCCAGGGCTTCTCATTGACTAGTTCCATCTTAACTATTAACCCATGACTACAAATATATATTTTTATAAGGACTTATCTCTTCCGAGGTCGCCAGACTTGCACCCTTTCCTCCCGGGATCATTCTCCACTCTTGACTACATTTCCCAGAATTCTCCTTGACTCCTAGTCCCACCTATCTTGCTTCCCTATTGGCCAACAGTGTTTTATTTATACCAATCAGACAAACATATACACAGAACGACTTCCACCATCATTGGACCATCTTGAATTTTCCTCTATATTTTCTCCACCTCCCACCCAGCTTTTTCTTTCACCAACGTGCAAATTGTTTTCCTTCCCTGCTAGCCAGACCAACAGATGGGTGGGAGAGGCAGGGGAGGCCTTCCTGGTCAGTAGTTCTGATTCTTTGATGTGAAAGGGGCAGCAGTCTTTTAAACTTGATTCAACCTCTTTGCATCTTACAAAGTTAAAACAGCTAAAAGAAGTAAAACAAGAAGGCATTGCTTGTGGAATGTACAGTGCATATTGGCGGCGCTCACCTCATTACGATTCGCCAGTTTGCTTCTCTTGTTCAATCGTTTCTTTGAGGGCAGAGGATTTTTTCTCTTGCGTTTCTGCCTTCTTCAATTTCAACTGATCGAATTTCTCGATCTCAGCCATATCGGGTTTGTCAGACATAGTTGCTGGAAAGAGCCAGCAGGGCGTACGAACACGGAGAGTTGGATCGCTCAGAGGACGCCACCAATTCTGAGTCTCTTTTATTTTATTTTATTTTTTATTTATTTATTTTTTTTTTGGTTTTTTCGAGACAGGGTTTCTCTGTGGCTTTGGAGGCTGTCCTGGAACTAGCTCTTGTAGACCAGGCTGGCCTCGAACTCACAGAGATCCGCCTGCCTCTGCCTCCCGAGTGCTGGGATTAAAGGCGTGCGCCGCTACCACGCGGCGCAACAATCCTTGTTTAGCCTGAACCAAGTTCTTAAAAGTTTAGGAGATACTTCAAGCTCCCATGGGTAGCAGAGGGAGCCTCCTTTTCTGTTCTCTTAGACATTCTTACAATTTTTAATAATTCAAAGTAGTAGGTCTTCGGTATTGAGATAGTAGCTTCTCCACCCCTCCACTAAGCCAGATCCAGCTGAATTGAAAAAGTAAAAGAATAAAAGAACTTCTGGGTGAGTTCTCCAGTCCCAGAGATCCAGGCAGGAGAAGTCACATGCCTGAACTAAAGCGGGTGATGACGTGTCTGCCACCAGCTGGGTTTGTACTCAAGCACGGTCAAAATCTGAACTCTTTAGGGTGGGGACTTGGGTGGCTGACAACTTCAGGGGAGGAGCTGCTGTAGCAACCAAGAATTCTGGAGCTGGGCTTTTTGGTGCCTTTCCCTCCTTGGAGAGTCTCTAAAAGGGTGATGTTTGGAGAGAGACAGAGAGAGACACAGACACAGAGAGAGAGACACATACAAAGAGAGAGACAGAGACACAGAGAGAGACACAGAGAGAGATACAGAGAGAGGGAGGAATGAGGTTTTCTGGATCAGGCAGGATCGAGCTGGAGGTTCCAAGCAAACACAAAGTTTATATGAAGTTTGAGAGGACGACTCTAGATGATTTTGCAAAGAACCCAGGTTATCACCAGCATCTTAGGGAAAAAGCAGTTCAGTGAACAGAACAATGCTCTTAGTCTTGTTGCTAAAAGAATTTTAAAAGGGTCTCAGAAGGAAGCTGGAGAGTCATTTTATGTAGTTTGGAAGAAAAACAGGCCAGACAGGTTGTAAATTCTTGAAGCTGCTGGGGGAGGCAGGTGACATGGGGAAAAGAAAAATCATGCATTTAAGTCAACCGTGGAAGTCTGCAAGCAGCTGTAGGATGGGAGTCTTCAGAGAAAACAGAAATCTCAGTGTCAGGGCAAGTGTGCTTACGATTTTGGTCAGCATCTAAGGAAGTCAGAAAGGGGAAAAGAAAAGATACGGTTTTGTTCAGAAATAAGAAAATGGCAGGCTTAGGGGCTTAAGGCCTGAGGGACTTCTGGGGCGTGTAAGTACATTATTTCCCTAAGGGGATAATTATTCCTCCAATCACCTTAACAAACCTTCAGATAAATCAACTTTCCTGAGGGTGGTCTCCTGACCACCAGGTGACTGACAGGATCATTTTGAGGAGACAATAGTATGCAATCTCTAATCCTGGAGCCAGATAAGATTGTCATACCTAGTTATAGCCAGAGGAAGAAGTAAGATTCTGTTCTTTCAACCAAGAGAGAGTAGCTGCCTCTTAGAGGGTCCAGGGAAGTCCTGTTCCTCCACCCTACCATATGGTAAACTGGAGCCGGGACCTAAAGCTGATGATGAGTCTATCCTCAGTGCCACCCAACATCCCCCCCCAAGGGCTGAGGCCAGAGATGCTGAGATGGCTCAGAGCATAAGAACCCCTCTTGCGCCAGGCGGTGGTGGCGCACACCTTTAATCCCAGCACTCAGGAAGCAGAGGTAGGCGGATCTCTGTGAGTTCGAGGCCAGGCTGGACCGACAGCCTCCAAAACAATACAGAGAAACCCTGTCTGGTAAAACCAAAAAAAAAAAAAAAAAAAAAAAAAAGAACCCCTACTGCCACACCTGATGACCTGATGACCCACATGGTATAAGGAGGGAATTGGCCCCCACATGTCCTTTCCAAACTTTGCTGTGGCACGCACATCTATACATGTGCACACACATGTACAATGAAATAAGTGAAAAAAAATTTTTTGGTATTGTTTTGGAGGCTGTAGGTCCAGCCTGGCCTCAAACTCACAGAGATCCGCCTGCCTCTTCCTCTCAAGTGCTGGGATTAAAGGCATGTACCACCACCGATCGGCAATAAGTGAAATTTTATAAAAAGAGTTGAGACCTTAAAATTTTATGGGAGATGAGCTACTATTCGCCATCCATCCAGCTACTTACAGTAGAAATGGGTCAGATAAGTACTGCTGGAGATTGCTGCCTGGATTAATGTTTCCAGACCCTTGGCATCTAAAGAATTCAGGCATACACAGATTGCAAAGTGGCAAGGAAACCTTATTCAGAAACCATGCAAGAACACAGTGAGCAGTGGACTCGAGACTGTTAGTCTGTGAAATGCTTACTATTGGTGGCCTCCTTTATGGGCTCGAGGAGCAGCTGTCAGTTAACGGCAGGTTATGGGTGGTCTTTCTGTTTTGATTGATAGACTTGGATTATGTAAGTCTTTGCTTGGTTCAAACATTTTTTTCTATGATGTATCTGATATGGATCATACCCACGCAATTATGCATAGACATAAGATGGTAAATACGAGATTTTCCCTAAAACCTCGAAGGACAGAGTTTGCCTCACTGGGCATGCACTTGGGTTGGATTGACCCCCTACTTTCCATCGCTAGGAATGTTATAGAATATGTTTGAATGAAAATTGGCCACAAAAGAGTTACTAAGGTAAAATCAGGAAAGAGTAAGCACTCCACTATTAGAAGTGTGGTGTGTATGCAGCTCAGTGCAGGCGAGGGCCCTATTGCTAGCCTATTGTTAGTGTGTCTTCATAGCTCAAGCCAAGTGGAGTCCTAAGTTGCTAAGCCAATCCTGTGCCTGTCAACTACTGAAGGATATTCAGTCTCTTTGGAGCTGCTGGGTAGGGGCACCAAACTACTGTCTCCTTCCTAAGGTTGTGAAGTCTCCATTGGGAACCACCTACAAAATCCCTCAGACAAAATGACATCATTTGGCAATGATTACTAAAGTGTTCTTCTTTGCTGACCCACCTGTAATCAGAGTTGTTGGATTCTGGAAGAGAAAAATTATATGCTTATTGAGAAGGGGAGGCAAGGACAAGCAATAGAAGCAGAGATAGGACAGGCACCCCCAGTGTGGGAACACCAGACCTTGAGCAGAGACCCACTTCCCCTTCTGCCTGGGAGTAGGCAGCTGTAAGACAATGTTTAGTAAAAACATCTTTACTAAAAACGATACAATAAGTTCCTGGAAAAGGCCTTCCCACGGAAACCGCCCTGACTTCGACCTTGTCCAAAGACTAACCACACCTTCAAAACCCACACACATCCACCTCTGGTGTCAGAGCAGAACCAGCCAGGGGAGAGGAGAGAACAGAAGCTTCTCTGGTGGGAGCCTTTCTTAGGAAGTTTTCTTGAACCTTTTTGGGGCCTGCTTAAAGTTCTCTTTACATTGTTGAACGAGTCTCTGTGTTGTCAATCCCCGACACCCTCCGCACGTTCTCGGACACAGGCTGAGAAGCAGACGCGACAGCTGAGGCCCGGCCCAGGCTTTTTTTTTTTTTTTTTTTATTTATTTATTTATTTATTTATTTTTTGGTTTTTTCGAGACAGGGTTTCTCTGTGGCTTTGGAGGCTGTCCTGGAACTCACTTGGTAGTCCAGGCTGGTCTCGAACTCACAGAGATCCGCCTGCCTCTGCTTCCCGAGTGCTGGGATTAAAGGCGTGTGCCACCAATGCCCGGCTCCGGCCCAGGCTTTGATCCTTAAATTCCAGCAACACCCATATTGGCTAAGCACGAATTACATGCCAGGAAACTGCATACAAAATAACTTACCAGAAGACCCCTCCACCACAACCATTCTCCCCCAAACCACTGTCTTATGCTGCCTAGCCTACTGCCCCTTTGCAGCATACTCAACAAGCCCGATTTCTTTCTATTATGGTCTAAAGAACAAATGTATTCATTCCTAGCCTGACGATTCCTTCCTCTCTACCATGTCTCAAATTTAAATTGCTTCTCATTAATAAGACTGGTTATTCAAGGTTGCTGTCTCAACTTACCCTACAGCAAGAGTAATTATCAGGGCTGGTGATGAGCCCTAGGTTCAGGTCTTAGTCAGACAGATAGACAGACAGACAGACAGACAGACAGACAGACACACACACACACACACACACACACACATGAAGCAAATTATCAAACTGGCTTGGGTCTAAGAAGAATCTATAAGAGTGAAGCATTCTAATGTATGCAGTGATGGGGTTTTATTGAGTAACAACAAAGGTTTGGCAGATAAATAGTGATCTGCACTCATTTCATTCTGTTATATATTTGAATTTACTTTTAAATTGCTATTATTTTGCTTTTTTTTTTTTTTTTTTTTTTTTTTTGGTTTTTTGACACAGGGCTTCCCTATGGCTTTGGAGGCTGTCCTGGAACTAGCTCTTGTAGACCAGGCTGGTCTCAAACTCACAGAGATCTGCCTGACTCTACCTCCCGTGTGCTGGGATTGAAGGCGTGGGCCACCACCACCTGGCTTATTTTGCTTTTTCTTATGATTAAGTTTTGACATAAAGTTTTTTATTATATTGGCTTATCAGTATATATGTTTCTGTATGCTACCATTATATATATATGTATCATATATGTTTACATAATAAAGTCTCCCCCAAAAGAGTTTAATTTAAATTCATTTCTTTTTTTTTTTTTTTTTTTTTTTTTTTTTTGGTTTTTCGAGACAGGGTTTCTCTTTGGAGACTGTCCTGGAACTAGCTCTTGTAGACCAGGCTGGCCTCGAACTCACAGAGATCCACCTGCCTCTGCCTCCCGAGTGCTGGGATTAAAGGCGTGCTTTAAATTCATTTCTAAGTGCACACATAACCTTAGTCCAAATTTCTTTTAATTCAGTAAGACTTAAATAAATCTAATAAATTAATTTTAATT